CAACACCACCCTCTTCCCGAGGGCTAGAGCGCCCGGCTGCACAGCCTCTTTTGGCTGAGCCTTCTTGCACTCCACCTTCTTGTTCTTGATCGTGTGAAAGTGGATCTCGCACACGCGATCCACCACGTCCTCATTCTCGAACGTAACGAATCCGAAACCGCGGTGCCGTTTCGTCTGCTGGTCCATCAGCATCACCGTCTCCTCGACCTTGCCAAACTGGTTGAAGTAGGCCTTCACTTCGTCGCTGCTCGTGTCCTGGCTCACGCCGCCTACGAAGATCTTCTTCGTGCGATTCGCCTGTTTCGCGCGATTCTTCGGCGTTGCGTGTTTCGGGTCGATCTTCTTGCCGTCCAATGTGTGGATTGGACACTTAAGCACCTTGTCGACGCTGCCGGGCTCGGCGAACGTGATGAAACCGAAGCCGCGACTACGCTGTAACCGAACAAGCCAGAACGGCCACGATGCACAACGACCGTCTCTTTCTTTGTTTCTTTACCGCTCCCTGTTCTCTCTCTCTCTCTCTCTCTCTCTCTCTCTCTCTCTCTCTCTCTTTCTTTTTTTCGCCGTTCGCCTCGTCCTGTCTCGATATCGCTCGGTTTCGCTTTCGCCTATATTATCATATCGAGCATCCCTTTCTTTAACTTTTCGATAACCTGAATGTGTTCTTAATTAACTCAATTCTTTCAGCGTCCGTTGCTGACCAACGATTAACCCGTTTTCTGCCCAATTCTATGGAGGATCAATTTTTAATGGTTTTTCTCTGCATTTTCGAAAAGGGAACTCACAGCGCAGGAAACAGGTTAATCGACGGATTATTCGTATCTCGCGCAGATTCCACGACGCACGCGGCGCTACCAACTTCCGGTTTGAATCGAAAGCCTAAAACTCTCTCTCTCTCTCGCTCTCTCTTTCTCTCGTTACCGTCACGTTTCGTCGAGAAAAGTATCCTGTCCCGTTTATCTCTATATACCGTACTCTGTATTGTAAAAGAGGTACCATGATATATCTTCTTTCATATGTACAATTAACTAATTACTACCAAACTACCGTTTACATGCAAGACTGTCCAAGCCAATGTATATAATAAGACAAACATTCTAGGATTACGTGAGACAAGGACTTCGAATATAACATATATACATATATACATACATTATATATATATATTTAATGTATGTATACTTATATGTGTAAGACTCAACTGAAGTTACGATCGTTAATTGCATCGCTACCGAATTATATACATATATATTTATGTACGATAAAAAATATCTATGCCCACAGTCCTCGTTCGTGATCTCTCTCGAATCCCGTGCGAACGTATCTTTAGAAACGAGCCTCTGCCTCTTTTCCACCTTTTACGTTTTAAGATACAAGTTTTAATACAAGTAAAGTACCAAGATACGCTTCTACTTCCTTTACACTGTCTCAGCAATTAGTTACATCGATTAGTACAACTTCTTCTCTACGTTCTACTGTGTGAAGTCTCGTGCAAAAGTGGAAGGAAGAAACTGGTGCATCGAATCTCCTCGAGGCGAATTGCGTTTCGGTCTTTCTCTTTTTTTTTTCTCACACCCCCTTCTCATTCCCGATACCCGTAAAAAGCTTTATTCTCGGCCGATACGCCGATGCGAACGATTTGACCTATCGAGGAGGAAATGGACGAGAATTTGAAAGCGTCGCTGTTGCTGGCCCTTTCTCGAGCAACTTCACTCAAGAACAACTGAAATTTTCCTAACAAGTAATCGATGGAAATATTTCACGATCGATAAAAGCAGAGTACAGTTATTAATCGAGATCTCTCAGTGTTCTGAAGCTCGCGAAAGAACCAACAATCACGATGGACAAGCTAACTGAGAGCTTCCATCGAGTAGACCGACCTGTGTGACCGGATCCTTCATGATCAAGACATCGGTGACGGTGCCAAACATGCCAAAGTACTCTCTGAGCTTCTCACTGCTAGTCTGCCACGACAGGCCTCCGACGAAGAGTTTGCCTGGTGCCGGGTCGCCGCCATTCGGTGTACTCCTGCCGGAGCTGCCGGAATGGCTACCGTTTATAGGCACCAGAGCATTGTGAAAATCGTGCTCGATAGCACCGTTCGCCGCTTCCATGCCGGCGCTGAAACACATCAATACATCTTCGGTTACTCTTTTGCGTCACATCATGGATTACGTCCGAAAATACATGGAAAGTCCAAAGAAACGAACTACCAATTTGGAAATTTTTTTTTCCATCGAAATATAGGTACATCTTTTAGCTAAATGTTCCTTAATTTTTATTACAAAAAGTATCTCTTTTGACTAGTTTCGTTTCACCTTTACCTATGTAATTTCATGAATTTTTCGGATAACGATCGAAAATTTTCACTATGTACTCTCATGAAACGTGAAACTATGGACTATTTGAAACTAAAAGAACGTCCGACCACGTAGTAGCTCTTATCTCTAGCCCATTTCGATTTTCTCACTTTTCGATACGAAGCGTAGGCGCATCTCAAGGATGTCGAACAACTTTTATAAATCTTTCTCGTTCCACCCTCTTCATCTCCACTACTCGACTTACACTCTCGAGTCCCCGAGAACGATTAAATCTGGTTAGAATAAGCGTGAATAACGAAAATACTGCCGGTTTCCGTGTCATTGCATAATTAACGAGAGGTTACATTTAAATTACTGGTGGAGGCGAGTCAGTTTTTCACCGACAATTTATTGTCCGACCTAGTAGCCAGCTGCGGAGCCCAAAGCCTCTTTTTCACGCTCATGTTTATGACGCTCACGGTATTTAAGCGAGCCTCCACACAGTCCTTTTCCGTACTTAAAACGCATCAAATCTAAATAGTTTTTTCCCGATTCGCGTACACTCCTTCTCCGTCGGCCTATTATTTTGCGAGTAATTTTATTAATTAGTCGTTGTTCCGCGAAAGAATCGAGCCTCGCTGCACCTTCGTTTTCATCGAGGCGAGGATAAAAGAATCGGACTATCGACTTGGCATGGCCTGTTCAGTGAACGGCAAGGAATTTATACTTTCCGAATAAAAGTCTCAGGCCTGATTCAGATCCTCGCGTAACAACAAATTTCTCTTACTTTTGTTACAGATAATACCGCTGGTACTGATTAACATGAGCGTACTACTAATGCTTCCTGTGATCATTTCTCACAGACTATTCTTTACCACGATCGACGTGAAGTAAGTTCGATTGACCGACTTAACCCATCTCCAGACAAAGTAATCAGAATTTTCGTATATCTAGACTCGGCGATTATTATCGTTTCGAGATACCAACCGTTCCACGATTCATCGACCTGCGAAAACCCCGAGTGTTAAAGGTAAGCGAACCTCTGATGGATAGTTGGCGAGAAAACCGGTATCATTTCCATATAATGCCGAACACAAATTCGTACATCGTGCACGAAGCTTTGCGCTTTCCATTGCCGTTTCTCTTTGTCTCCCGTAACATTTAATAGACGCGATAAGAATGCGTCGGTACATAGCGCGCTTCTCCACCAATCAGCCAGGAATAATTGGAAAAGATAACGGCGTTTCCTCGTGGAACGATAAAGTCGTCGGAGACGCGATCACCCCCGGAACGTAGCCGCCGATCATGTATATGATCGAGCGAGAACGATATTTTATTTTCCCGCGCTGCTGTCACCCTTCATTACCCGTAACTGCCATCGATTCGCCGTCTCTGTCGGCCCTGCTCTCCTGAGAATCGAGCTCGATGTATCTGTCCATCTTCTTCATCTATCACCGTCCGTCATCGTGCTACCTACCAATCGTCGTGTGTTATCGTTCCTCCCAGTTCGCGTTTGCTCTTTCGAATCTACAAATTAACATACGACTCTGTCCGTTCGCCCTTCCATTGTTCGACTGGTTTAAAAAAAAAAAAGAACATTTATTCGGACAATTCGCGATACTCTCTATCCTTTGAATAATGTCAGCAATCCCGTCTCTAAATCGTGCGAAAAACAGAGGCAACCAAAAAAACGAAATACAATTAGACGAAGAGCATTAAAATTTGGTAAAACTGATGGTTAAACAGAGCAAGGCAAAAACGATCGATCGGCTAATCGGCGATCTCGCGGGTGAACGACTGCGAAGAGAGCATAGAGATCCCCAGAGAGGTAGGTCTCCGGTGTGTAGCGAACTCGGGAAATGCGTACACCGTTACCTCTCCCCCCCAGGATTCACGAGAGCGACGTACATTCACCAGGGAGGGAGAGGGAGAGAGAGAGAGAGAGAGGGAGGGAGAGAGGGAGTTGGAGGAGGGTGGAACGCATGTTACTATCGCAGCGAGGAACGTGGACAGAGCGCGCACAAGACGGATATGTTGGGGGGGTGCAGTGGTCGAGGGAGCGGTGTGTCGAGTGGAAGATCGCCCGGTGGTGAGGTGGAAGGGGTGTTGTGTATGCGCGAGCGCGCTATCCCACTGTGGAGCAAAGGAGAGACCCAATGGTTCAAACGCGGGAGGGAGACAAATTCTGTGACACTTTATGGTGTACGACAGAGGTCGAAGACAAAGGGCGCAAGGAGGAACTAGCGATGGTTTCGAAGATCCGCGCCGCTTCCTGTTCACGGTACGACGAAACTGTATTGTGGATCCTATAGGTGTACCATCAAACTTTCGGAAACGGATGCTTCGAGTTCGTTGGCGTTTGGATACCATATGCAGAACGGAGGATGGAAAAGAGAATGAAAACGGCTGATGGTGGCCGCGAGAGGCTCGTTCCCATCGCTGCAGAGACGGGAGAAAGAGAAAGAGGGGAGAGCAAAGTGAAACGGGGCGAGCCATTTGAGGGAGGCAGTCATTGGGGGAGTAGATTTTTTTTTTAAGGGTGGCGGGGGGTGGAGGTTGAGAGAACGCGCAGCTGGTGGATCAATACGCCCCTCCGTTCTTCCCTCTTCGAGTTGTCGTGCTCCCTTTCGCAACTTTCCGCCCCTGCGGAACGTCTATCGAGATGCGACGACTGTTTTTCCTCTTTCGTCGTCTAATTTCCACGAAAACTCGTCTCTCTCTCTCCCTCTCTCTCTCAGTGCGATTCCGCATTAGCCGGCTTCTTCCTTCTCCGTTTCTTCTTTCGCGGCTATTTCTTTCCCATTACGTACGTCTCTATCCTCGTCTTTCGGCGAATCTTCCTTTCAACATTCCGCAGGAATTGCTCTTCTCTCGACGATTCTTTCCAAGTAATTCGAGTACCTAATCGTAAGCCTCCAAAGAGAAACTAGGGGAGACCGATCAAATTTATTCTGTATCGACGAAATTTAGATCCACCCAGACGATCGGGAATTTCCAGCTGACTGATCAAGAATATTATGTAAATATTTCGCTCTAGACCTGTTCTACTCGCGACACAATGCCTTGCACCTTGCGATAATTTTTTACGGGGTATCGGAGCTAAATACGCGACGATTGCATGGTTAACGCGGACCAAGCTTGCGTGAAAAGTGGACGGAAGTTAACCGTGACCTTTTTTCTCTAACTGTTCAACGGGGAAAACTACCTGGATTCTTTAAACCAATAGCTGCCGTATTCCCGCTGGATGATTATCGGAAAGCTCTCGTCGATTAAGAAACGTCCCGGTAACCACCGATGGTTATCGGTAGAGGAGAGGATCGTTGCTGTTTGCATTTACCAGCCATGACCTCGATCGCGTCGCGACGAAACGCGAGGTAACGCACAAGAAGCGAGAATAACGGGCAAGGGGTGACGTAAGGAGGAAGAAGAGGAGGAGGTTGATGGAT